CCCAGGCCCAGGCCCGAGGCCCGAGGCCAGGCCCAACGAGCGCGCGCGCGCGCGCGCCGGCCGGCCGGCCTTCCTCCCCGCGGCCCGGCCCGGCCCGGCCCGGCCCGCCGCCCTTTCGCCCTCCTGCGGCCGAGCCCGGCCCACCTCCCCGCTCACCGGCGGCGGCCGGATCTTGCAGATGCCCGACTTCTCGGCGATGGGCCGGATCTTGGCGATGTAGCCCAGCGGGTCCCGGAACTCGGCCCAGCTCGGCTCGAAGACGGGGCACTCGGGCGGGGGCACGAAGTCCTCGGGCCCGGCCTCCATGGCGGACGCGGGGGAGGACACGGACGCGGACGCGGACGCGGACGCCGCCGACGCCGCCGCCGCCGCCGCCAATGCGGGCGCGGACCAGGACGAAGCCTGGCGCGCGCGCGTTCGTGCGTGCGTGCGTGCGTGCGCGCTACCCGGAGCGCTCCCGGACCGCCGCCGCCACTGCCGCCGCCGCCGTGGTCGCCGCGCCGCCCCCGGTCCCAACCACTGCCGCCGCCGCCGCCGCCGCTGCCGACGACGACGACGACGCCGCCGCTGCCGCCGACGCCGCCGTCGCCATCTTGGGTCGGTCTGTTCCCTTCCGAGCTGCCGAGAATCCTTCCGCTGCCCCGGCTCCCGGCCCCGGCCGCGCCGAGGGGCACTGTCGGGGCCTCTCGGCGGATCCCGGGGCGGGGGGGCCGGGGGGGGGGGGGGTGGGGAAGGGGGGGGGCTGTGAAGCTGCGGGCGGTTCCGGCTCGTGGGGGAGGAAAAAGTCCCTCAGGCGAGGTGGCGGAAAGGTACTAGGGAAGGTAAACAAAAGCCGGATCTTCTTGAGCCTGTAGCTGGTCGTGCACGTTTAAAAGCCAGAGCTGCGCAGGCGCCCTGAAGGAGCCAGGAAGCGAGAGGGCCAGGGATAGGGAGGGGAGAGGCGGGGCCAGGGATAGGGAGGGGAGAGGCGGGGCCAGGCCGGGAGAAAGGGGCGGGGGCAGCGGGAGGAGGCCAGAAGAGAGGGGCGGGGCGAAGGGGATGGAAGACTGAGAGAAGGGGAGGGAGGAGGAGGAAGGAGGGATCCCCGGGATAAGGGAGAGTGCAGCCAGCCTGCTTTCCTGGGCCCTGCAGTGACAGTGTGGCCCCCACGGTGGGAATAGGGGAGGCAGGAAACCTGGGTTCAGGGCCCCTCCTCTCAGTGTCTCCTCTCCAGTTTGTGCAGGCTAATACTAAAATATCTGGAGTGAAGAATGAATGGAGGAAGGAAGGAAGGAATGAATGAATAAAGGCCAGGCAACCAGCAAAACGACAGATTATGCAGTGGTCCCAACTGGCTGGCTGAGGAGCTTCAGTGGGCCTCAACCCACACCCGATTCCCAGCCAGCCTCTTGGGCCCTTCCGACCCACCAAAGGCACAGCTAGTCTGAGGAGAAGTCAGCTCCCCGACGGTCCCAGTCCGCCCAGGCCCAAGAAACACACGGGAGGCAAGATGAGCACAGGCCAAAGACAGGGGCGTTTATAAGACATCAAATATACATTCTTATGTACAACAAAGAGAAGAAAAAGAACAGACCAGGCCCAACCAAGACAATGAGGCCCCTCCCTCAGACTTTGGCCCAGCACTTTTCCAGCCCCATCTGTGCAGAGAAGGGACTGGGCCCCTTGTCCACTCCCTGTAGGCAACTGGGGCCAGGTAGGCAGGGAAGATCGGCAAGGACTGCAGGGACATGCGGGCAGGAAGGGAGCAAGAGGTGAGCTGGGTGCCGGGTTTGGTACAAAATCAGTTTAGAATAGACAAACATGGAGGAGGCAGCCAGGACCAAGGCCATCCAGGCTGAAAAGCTAAGGATTGCCATGGCTCCTGTGGGTATCCCTAGAGGGCCTTTTACTAGGTGAGCCTGGGCCTGGAGCTCTGCTTTTCTCCCCTTCTGCCCAGCCCAGCTCTGCCTTAGCCTGGCCTGCCCAGTCTTGCCCGGTCTGTAGGACTCTCAGACCTTGCTTCAGTCATCTCCCACCCCACCCCCCAAAACACACGCACACACACACACACACACACTCTCTCTCTCTCTGTCTCTCACTCACTCACTCACTCACTCTACTCTCCCAGGAGCCTGCACTGGGGGGAGGGGGGGTCTCTGAGAGGCCCTGTCCCAGCATTGGGGGGGGGAAACTGAGTTCCACCCCCCCCCCAGACCTATAAAGTGCATTGGCTCATGGGGAGAGGGTGAGAGCTAGGGAAGACGTGAAATAGTGGGGTTCAGTGTTTCTTCCTGATCAGCATAAATCAGGATGTCTACTCTGGGTGAGGAGGGGAAAACTGGTGGGGAAGGATATTCCCCGAGCTTTGAGATCAGAGGAGGCAGATTGGGAAGGAAAGGGCAGACCCAAAGGTGGAAGAGGAGGGAGACCCAAGTACCAGGAGGTCAGCCCAGCTCCAACCCTGTAGCCCTTACCTCTTGCCAAGCGTGTTGGGGGAGATTCCCCAAGAGCCTTGCTTCAGGTACCCAGTCCCCCCAGGAGGAGAAGGGGAGTGGGGCCAAGCCCTGAATCCCTGTGGCCCTGGGGGATGACTTGCCTTTCTGGGGGCACCTGAGGAGGCCTCAGACATTCCCCTGCTAGTGAAGTGTAGATCATCTCCCTCAGTTCACACAGTCTCCAGAGCTAGATGAGTCCTTGGCTAAAATTCTCCTGTGACTGGCTGGGTGCTGCAGGGAGCATGGGATGGGAGACTTTCCTCCTTCCCCACCAGCCCCCCTCCCCATATCTCTTGCTCAGTGATTAGGTAGTTTTGGGGGAGCCCTAAGCCCCTGAGGAAAACTATGAGAAATGTAAAGGTAAAGATCCTAGGCTGATGCCACATTGATTTAGAGCCATCCAGGTAAATCTTGTTTTTAGAGGAGAAACTGAGCCTCATTTGGGGGGTGGGGAATAAGATTGTAGATTGGAACTCTGGAAGTAGCCCCCTCATCCCAGGGAGGGGAAGTGGGGGTTCACCCAACACGCCCCCCCCCCCCGGGGGAGGAGCAGGGGGAGGGGCAGTTGGGGGCCCCCTCTCTCGTGGTCTCTATAACCGGGTTTTTTTTTTTTTTTTTTTTTTTTTTTTTTAATGAAGGACAGGCAGAACATGTCCTAGGAGCATCCAAGGCCAACCCAGGAGGTGGGGTGAGCTGACCTTCTGCTCGTGATTCAAACAACAGTGCTGATCCTACTTGCTGGTTTGGGCTTAGGGTTCCCAGGACCATGGCCATGACCGTGGGGGTGGCCATGACTGTGGCTATGGGGTGGTGGGTGGGGAGAGGTGGGTGGTGCAGGCGAATGTGGGGTAAGTGGGGTGTGGGGTGAAGGTGGAGGAAGTGGTGGGTATGAAGGGTGAGGTGGTATCACAGGTGAGTGAGGTGACAGCGGCGACTGGGGTGGGTGCCCTGGGCCCGAGTGGCCCCCGCCGCCTCCTCCCCCACTCCCATAGGGCCCTCCAGGTGCTGACCGTGACATCATTGGTGGGGGGTGCCCACCAAAGATAAAGTGCTTGGGGCCCTGCTTGGATGCGCTGGCCACATGGTGGACGCCAGGTGGTGGTGGACCTGGTGGGGGATACGCATGGTGGACCAACCCGTGGTGTGGGGCTGGACTGTAGAGGGGCAGGGGTGAAGTGGGTTGGTGCAGTGGGTAGCGACCCCCCATGGAGGTTGCCCCGGCCGCTCCTCGTTTGGCTCGGCCCCCAGCCCGGCCCAGTGTAAAGTGCTGAGGCCCATGCCCACCTAGAAAGTGACGGTGTGGCCCCACAGGTGGCGCCGAGGCAGGTGGCGGTGGGATAGTGCCCACCTGGGGTAGAGGGGCTGGCTGAGGTGGGGGTGGGGGTGGGGCAGGCTGTGGGTGGTAGGGTGGGGGAGGGGGGGCTGGTCCCCCGGGCACATGGCAATACTGGGCATGGAGGGCCTGAAGCTTGGAGGGGCCATCGGCATGTATGTGGTGCGGGGCCGGGGCTGGGGCTGGCGGTGGGTGATGGGGCGCTGCAGCTGGAGGGGGGTGGTGGTGGTGATGGTGGTGGTGGTGATGGTGGTGAGAGGAGGAGGCAGAGGAGGAAGAGGCAGATGTAGGCCCTGGAGGGGTCTGGAAGGGGCCTTTGCCCCTTCTACTGCCAAACAGTGAGCCCAGAAAGGAGGATGAGTTGGATGCAGGGCGCTGCTGTGTCTTATATTCCTCAGGTGGCGGTGGCGCTGGAGGCAGGGGTGGAGGCATCCGCTGGTGCGGGCGGGGGCTGCTAATAATAGAGCCCTGGCAGGATGGGGGACACCAGGAAGTGGGGAAAGGGGGAGGGGAGAGGGAGAGGGGATCAGGCCCAGCTGGACGCAGCAGCCCCTGGGCCTCCCCACTCACGCCCCCATCTGAACTCCCTTGTTCTCAATTGGGCCTTCCTTCTACGGACACCTCGTCAATCACTGGCTTCCAGGGCAGGGATGGGGGGTGGGGAGACACATGAGGAAACAGGGTCGGTGCCTTCCTGCACCCCCTGGTTTTCTTGGCTGCAGCCACCACCTCCCCCTTTTCCTTATGCTAGTCCTCCCTCTTCTCTTCCTTCCTCTCCTCCTCTGTCTCCTCCTCCAGGAAGATCTCCCCCAACCCCGTCACTTGGACATCACCAGAATCACTTCCCTGGAAAATTGGAGTGGAAAGAGAGAATGGGAAAGAAGGACAGACGGACAGACAGAAGGAGCAGAGACAGAGGGGGCTCATGTCTCGCCATTGTTCCTTCCCAGAAGGGGCAGCTAGGGGTTGGACAGGCACAGGTGGGCAGGCATTCAGCCCCATGCAGACGGGGGAGGGGGGGGTGTCAGGCCGCCCCACTTACTTCGATGGTGCTGTCCAATGATCCCACGCTGTTACGTCGCCCCCGCTTCCCTGTGCCCGCAAGCAACGAGGGTCAGGGTAGGGCTTCGTACAACTCGAACCCAGGGTCACCCCCCTGAAGGATCTTCTCCTCCCCCTTGGGCTCCCCCTCCCTTCTTCTACCCCTCCCTTCTAGGAGGCAGATGGAGACAGCAGAGGAAAAGGAGAGAGGCAAGAGGAGTTAGAGAGGGACAGGAGAAAGAGTGAGACAGCGCACGGCCCCTCCTGGTTCCCTTGCATTGCCCTGTGGCCCTCACTCCCTGCACTGTTCCGGCTAGTAAGCTCATTTCTGTCAGACCCTCTGTGGGCCCAGCTCTGGCTCTAGGCACCTAGACAGGACGAGGCCCTGGGCCCTGGGCACTGGGCCACTGTCAGAGGAGCTTGTGGAGAAGAGTAGGGGAGGAGGAGAGATGGCCCAGATAAGGAGGAGGGGATTCCTTCCCCCTTCCCTGCCCAGAGCAAAATCCTGACTCTGCTGGTTTTCCCATCACCACACCCCGGGGGGGGGCAATCCTGACCTGCATCTGAGAGGTCACGTAGGGAGCTGCTAAGGGCACTCCGCTTCAGACCATCACCAAGGCCATATGTGTCCTCCAGGCTGGACCGGGGCAGTGTGCCGTTGACTGCGTCCTTGGAGCCAGTGGGCTGGGAGGTATTGGGGCGCATCACCCCCTTCTGCTTCTCTAGCTCCGCTGTGTATATGAGAGCAGGCCTCTTCATTAATAACCTTTGAGCTTCCCTCTCTCGTGCACCTTGCCTAGGCCACTTCTCAGTCTCTGGGTCCCCTGAGGGCTGCCCTCCCCAGAATTCTGAGCTGTCCCAACAGGAACTTCCCAAAGGTGGGGGTATAAGTTTCTATTCAAGTAGACAGGCAAGACCTGGGGCAGAATGTCTTAGACACAGAATTGCAAACTTCTGGACCATCAGACTTGTGGCCTCAGTTTCTCTTTCATTCTTTGAATTGTGCGTTCTTTCTCCCAATTGCTAGATGCCTTAGCCTGTTCAACCCAAACACCTGAAGACTTTTAAACTTTTTAAAACTCATCTTTGACTTACTTAGTCCAGAATGCTTTCCACTGCACTTCAAGGCTAAGATCAGGGTGGCAGTCCTGGCTTTGCCATACTGAACAATGACTTCCCTCTCTGTGCCTTAGCTTCCTTCTCTGTAAAATCATCATATTATGACTTATACTCCCGACCTACAGGTTCCTGTAAGGGAAGACCTTTCTAACCCTTCAGACGTTGGAGACTTGCTCGTATGGCTGGATCGTATGGCTGTTGTCCCAAGGCACAGACTGGCTGAGTTGAGAGAGATTCATTACTTATTTGCTTACGGGAGAAATTTTTCAGCCCAAACTCTAATGTCTGTCTGTCTGTCTGTCTGTCTGTGTGTGTGTGTGTCTCTCTCCTCTCCCCACGCTCTTTCTCTCTCCTTCTCTATCTCTTTTTTTCTTCTCTCTTTTCTCTGTCTCTCCTCTCTCTTCCTCTCTCTCTCTCATCTATCTATATGGATATCTGTATCTAGATATGTATATCTATATGTATATGTCTGTATATCTTTCTATCTGTCTGCTGTAGAGGGTCTGAAATCCATACTGGTGGAGACCCAGCTCATGACAGACCCTTAGGAACCCACAAGTGACAGTTCTTGCATTTGCACACTCAGTAGAGAGGTCACAACAGTGATTCCTCCTGCTTCAGGAAAGTAGATAGTAAAAGTGATTCAGCATCTCAGCTTTGAAGCTTCCCTCCTGCCCTGTTCTCGCCCCTCCCTTGCCAACCGTTTGAAGGCACAGAAGAGGGAGCTCCATCAGTGGCTGTGTGTGAACTGGAGGCTGGCTAGCCCCCAGAAGGGTCACACACTCACATTCCACACGGTATTTCTCCATCTCTTGTACTTCAGCTATGGACTCTCGGAGGTCAGACGTGAAGCGAAGGCGGTCTTGCAGGCTGGGTGCGTTGAAAATGATGAGCACCTTCCGCTCCCCACCGGGCACTGCAGAAAGCAGTTTGATGCCAAACTGGTAATCTGTCAGGTGCCAGGGAGAAAAAGGGACACAGGCATTGTCAGGGTAGAAAACCTCCAGGCTCATCCTTTCCACTCTGAACTGGAGTCTGCCCTCAGAATGCTTGCGATCCAGGCAAGAATCCATAGCAAGAGCTGGCCCTTCAGCATCTCCACTCACTGAGGACTTGGGTTTGGGGGTGTCTCTCACTGTCACTAGCGGAGAGACAAAATTTAGCTAAGATGTGGTCTAGTAAAGGGGCTCATCCATTCATTCATTCAAAAACCAGATGAAGTACCTCCACTGTGGGGAGATAAGTGACAGGCTCCCTGCGCCCTGTTGGTACCACCACTGAGCACCTACGCTTCTGTGCTGCCTCGCAGGCCCAGCCCTACCTCAGCTATCTGGACGAACTTGGCCTTTGGGCCCTTTCCTCCTTTACACATCTGCCCCGCCCCCCCCCAAAAAAAGGTCCTTCAGTGTGGGCCATATGGTCATAGGACACTCACATGAATTCTGGAAGAGCTGTAGGTGCATTTCAACAAGGGGAAAGGACTGGCGGAAACTGTAGGTCACCAGGATCTTCTTCTTCTGGAAAATTTTGGTGACCTGTGGTGTAGGGAGGGGGGAGCTCATTAGCAGTGGGACCAAATCACAAAGATCAGAGAATGCTCATGGAAGGAGCTCAAGTCTGGCTTCCTGTAGCCCTCTCACTTGGCCAAGATGGTTCCAAAATAGAAAAGTCTGTTGGAGAAGCTGCAGGACACCGGACGCGCTATCCCAGCACACTGGCAGAAACTGGCTCCATTTCTAAGAAATGATTCCAAGCAGCCTTGTTTGTGGGAGCCCAACACTGGAAACAACATGGCTACTTGGCTGGGGAAACTGTGGACTGTTGCTGCATGGCTTGGAATGAGGGCTGTGACCCAACCACAAGAGACAGTGACTCCAACACCACCCAAAGGTTGCTCTACTCAGACTAATTGTACTGTGGTCCTCCTGGGGCCTTCCTTGTTCCCCACTCCCGAGAGAGGCGGAGGACTCCAGGTATAAAATGGTGCACGAGCTGCTGCTGGACATGGTCGCTTTCTTTGTTGGATTTCATTTGACAGTTTTTGTTCAAGGGAGGATTTAGTGGGTCGCCAAGGGCCTATCAATCTTTGATTGCTTTCAACTTGAGACAGAATTGGTGTAGTGGAAGGAGCTCCCGGGTGCAAATGCTCCCTTCTCCAGTGCTTGTTAACCTTCCTGCCCTTGCCCTACCTGCCTGGGGCATTAAGGTCCTGCCACTTGTGTGTGCTGGAACAGGGAAGTGAACCCAGGTGTTCCTGATTCCAAGGCCAGCCCTCCATCCATCACCCCAGGAGTTCTTATTTCTTGTTGTGGAATTTGTTCTTTCTTGCCAAACTGATTGCTTAAAGGCTTTGGGACAAAAAAAGGGAAAGAGCCCCTGCCTTATACCTCACTGCCTCTTGCTGGGAGATTGGAGTATAAAAAAACAAAAGACAGTAATTGTTTTAAAAAAATAAGAAAAAGCATCCAAATTGACAATCTCAGTGACACCCCCCCTCCCCTCCCCAAAAAATTGGCCTCTGTGTCGATGACTGTTTAAGTTTTAGGCAACTGAAAGTCTAGAAGGATACTTAGAAAACAAAAGTCCAACTGTCTACCCCATCTTTGCCCTGTAGGGAGAGGGGAAGGAAACTGAAACCCAGATGTGGAAAGGACTTGTCCAAGCATATATGGCAAGTCCATGACAGAATTCAACATATCCCCCCCACCCCAACCTCGCCACCAGCCCCGTTCCCCTTCGACAACCCAGCTCCCCTGAATGCTCATTACCACAAGTAGGTCATTGAAGAGAAAGACTTCACGCTGGTGAAGACCAAGCCTCTGTGGCCTGTTGGGGTCAGGTACCTCATAGAGTTGGCAGCAACAGACCAGGCGCCGATGGGGTAGGGAGAGGACCTGGATAGGTGGGAAATCAGGGGAATGATGAATCTGAATTACTCCCCAGACTCCTTAGTTCAGCTCATATAGTCCCCTTAAACAGGGTTTTAGGGAAGAGTGAAAGCCAAATTGGAATTCCATTTGGGCCAGGGAACCAGAGCCAGGCACAGTTCTCCATACTTACCGGTTTCTTGCCTACGATCATGCGTTCCACAGCCTGCACCTGGGATACATGGTCATCGTTGGTCCTCAGTTCTCGACCCTGGATGCGCTGGTAAATGCCAACCAGCAGGTCCCGGGGGATGTCTTCTCCATTGTCAACTCCTGGAGGGAGCATGGGATGTTGTGATGCTGCACACCACTCGCTTCCTCCATTGCTTCCTCTCTCCCTCTTTTCTAATCCTCTGCAGTCTGGCTTCCAACCTCATCATTCAAATGAAACTATTTTCTCCAAAGTCACCACTGATCTCGTCATTGCCAAATCTTTGCCTTTTCTCAATCCTCATCTTCCTTGGCCTCTCTGCGCTTCTGGGTACAGTTCAGTACCCTGTGCTCCTCAACAGTCTCTCTGAGCTTTCCTAACATTGTTCCTTCCTGATTGGTTGTTCCTCCTCAGTCTCCTTAGCTGGGATCCTCATCCGGCTCATGCCCTCTAACTCTAGGTGTCCCAGAGGGTTCTCTCCTGGACCCTCTGCTCTTCTAATGTACTTCACTGGGGGAATTTCCTCAGCACCCATGGGATGGATGGTCATCTCTACGCTGATGATTCTCAAATGTGTTTAGAGCCCCAGCTGTCTGCTGACCTTCATTCTCCTGTCTCCACTTGCCTCTCAGACATCTCAAACTGGATGTCTAGTAGGCATCTGCAATTCAATATGTCTAAAACGGAACTCCTTCTCTTTCCCCCTAAACTGCGCTCTTCCTGCCTTCTCTGTTACTGCTGAGGGCCACACCATCCTCCCAGTCCCTCAGGCTCCCCACCTAGGAGTCATTCTGGACTCGTCACTATCTCTCATTCACCCCCCATATCCAATATGGTGCCAAGGCCTGTTGATTTCGCCTCTGCAGTGTCTCTCGAATATGCCCCCTTTCTCTCCTCTGAGACTGCCTGGCCCCTGATGCAGGCCCTCATCTCCTCACTCCTGCACTATTGTAATGTCCTTCATTCAGCCACCAGTGGTTTTCGTAAGGAGCAGGTCTGATTGTACCCCACACACCCCTCCCAAACTCCAGTAGTTCCCGATTACCTCCACAGTCAAATACAAAATGCTCTGTTTGGCCTTCAGAGCCCTTCATCTCCTGCTCCCTCTAGTTGCATTATATATTAATTCCCTTTTCACACTGTAGCCAAGTTGGACTTTTTGTCTCAGTTCCTCACACATGGCACTCCATTTCCCACGTGTGTCTGTACAGGATGTCCCCTGTGCCTGGAACACCCCCCCCCCCCCCCCGCTGCTTCAACCCTAGCCTTTCCTGAGGCCCTCTCTCCCAAACTGCCTCGGACTGTGAAATTCATTGCTACTTATTAAGAGCACGCTGTCCTTCTTGTCTGTTTCCCTCTTTTTGTATTCCTAGCTGCCAGCATGGTGCCTAGCACATTGTAGCTGCACCATCAGTGAGCATTTATTAAATGCTTGTTGTATGCCAGGCACCATCTTCATGTTACCGACCAGATACAGGGTAGCTGGGGGAGGGAGGGAAAAGCTTCCCACACGTACAAGCAGAAGCAAAAGTGATGAGGGAAAGAACACTAAGCACGGGGGGGGGGGGGGGGGTGTCACCAGCGAGTCATCATAGGGAGGGGCCAAGTTAGGAAGGACTGGAAAAGCCAGACTGACACCCACAAAGATACTAGGCAGCCATCGGAGCTTACTGGGATGGTGGGTGTGGTCAGACCTTAGCAGCTGAGCAGAGGGTGAATGCGGAAGAGACGAGATAAGGAGACCACATGGGAGGCCATTGCAGTGGTTCAGGTGAGAAGGGACGTTTGTGGGTTGATTGAATGGATAGTGGCAATGACATGATGCACAAAACATCTGAGTAAGGTGGACACTTCAAGATCTCAGACAATCCCCTCACATTTTCCCAAGGCCCAGAGAAGGGCAACAAAATGGGTCACAGGTGCCCAATGTCTCTCCAGTCAAGAGCTGGCAACCTCTCAGACTTGCCATGTCTGAGTCATTGAATCCTAGAGCCTTAGAAATAGAAGGAACTTTAGATCAGTTTACAGTGGGAAATGCTGAGGGTTTCAAGTATCACACAGGAAGGCAGGGAGTTAGGGAGTCTAAGTATCTGTAGGTAATGCCACTCTTCATTAAACCTCCCTGATTTGCTACATCCAAGTCATGGAATCTCATCATGTTGGATCTGAAGGGAGCCTTTGAGGTCGCTCAGTTGGCGGGGGGGGGGGGGGGAACAAGTATCAACCCAAGGCCACAGTATAAAACCGGTAATGCAGGCATCACTCAATGTACCTCTGAGGTTCTTAATGAAGTCTTCAGGCTTCATCTTGCGTTCAGCCTTTACATTGGGACTGTACATGTCTGTGTTGAGCAAGATGATGGCAAAGGCCAAGATGAAGATGGTATCTGGGTTCCGGAACTGCCTCACAAGGGCCGGGTTGCACACACAATACCGCTGGCTGCTCAAGGAAAGGAAGTCAGATGTGCTCACCTCGCTTTTGAGTTCCCCAATCCTTTCTCCATGGAAAGGAGACACCAGTTCTCCTCAGCTCTGGCCTCATGTCACGCCACCCAAGAGCCTGGATATTCCAGACAATGTCCACCCCCCACCCCCGCACTCAGCTTTATCTCTAGCTGCTTCCACCTCCAGTGGCCTTTCCATTCCCCAAATTCCTTAAGAAAAATAACAGTTCGTGTGTCTTGACTTCCAAAAGCCCTGTGAGGTAGATCGTTCAAGAAAGATCACATGAATAAGACTTTCTCAAAGAAATCCAAGCTATCGATAACCACGTGAAAAAAAAATGCTCCAAATTCGGAATAATTTGCGAATTGCACAATTCAAGTAACTGAGTTACCATCAGTAAGTATCATCAGTAAGCCATCAGGCTAGCAAGAGGCCCACGACAATGGCTGGAGTGGCTTTGGCATTATGCCTCCAAAATTATTAAAAGGGGATAATACCCTTTGACCCAGCAATGCTATTGCTACATTTATGCCTCAGAGAAAGAGGGAAAAACCTCCTATGTATAAAGCTATTTCTAGCAGCTGTGTTTGTGGTGGCCAAGAACTGGAACCTGAAGGGGTATCCATCCATTGGGGGATGGCTGAACCCGTTATGGTCTATGAATGTCATGGAATACTGTGGTGCTAGAGAAAATGAAGAAATGACCAGGCATGGTGGTACACTCCTGCAATGAGGCTGAGACTGGTGGATTACTGGAGCTCCAGTGGCTAAAACCTATCAGGTGTCTCATGGTGAGCACCCAGGAGCAGGATACCTAAGGAGGGTCGAACAAGACCAGGTCAGAAATGGAGCAGGTCAAAGCTTCCTTGCTGATTAGCAGTGGGATTGAGCCCATGAGTGTCTGATGCACTTCTAGCCTGGACAAGATCAGGAGACCCAGTCTTGGAGGAAAAAAAAAAAAAAAAAAAGCTCAAATGAACGGTTCCAGAGTAAATTGGAAAGACCTCTAAGAACTGGTGTGGAGAAAAGTGAACAAAACTAGAACAATTTATACACTGACAACAACATCATTACACAGAGAAACAACTTTGAAAGACTTTAGAACTGTGGTCAATGCCATGAGAAAGCCCGAGTACTGAGGACCGAAGATCAAACACACCCCCCCCACCTCTGCGGCCGCAGCCGCGCGACGCCCCCCCACCTCCCCGGCGCCTCTTGCCAGAGAGGTGATGGGCTTATGAAATGCAATGAGACCCACATGTTTGCACACAGCCAATGAGGGGGATCTGCCCATTTGTTAGGAGGGTTTTCTTTTTCAGTGGGGGGGGGGGGAGTGGGAAGGAGAGATATAATAAATGGTTGTAAAATGTGTTTTTTAAATTACTATCCTTATTTTGCAAAGGCAGAAACTGAGTCCCAAAGAGAGGGAGGGACTCGTCCAACCAGCCTGCCTCTACTTGCCTGTCCTTCCTCACAAATGCACGAAGCATCACCAAGGCTCCCACCCCTGGCAGCTTCTGCTTGGCTACTGCCCCCGGGGATGGAGAGGTGCCAGGGCCTTACCTGAAGGCCTCAATAAGCCTCTCTACTTTTTGGGCCTCTCCCTGGACTCGAATGTGGGATTGGAACCTTCGCAGAGCATCGTCCAGATCCATGGAGGAGAAATCCATCTCGTCCACCACGCAGCTATTTGAGGACCGAAGAGAAAGAGGGTGTGCGCTCTTTAGCTGGCTGTCAGCCCACCCCCATTCTCCTTCCCTTGGAATCTGTCGGGGCAGAAGTGTCATAGGGATCTAACCCTAATCCCCAGTCCAGCCCCTTCACTGACAGGTTCTGAGAGGGGATGGGACGTGTCCAAGGTCACACTGCTGGGAAATAGCAAAACCAGGGCTGGAAGCTAGCGTCAGAACCATCCAGAACTGACCTTGCCCACCCCCTTTTTGTAGAAGAAGATAGTGGGGCCTTGAGAGTTGAAGGGACTTTGCCAATCTGGGGGCACCAGACCAAGAGAAGGGACCACCCTCAAGCCGCACCTTCCCTCCCACCCCACCCCTTCTCACTCGAGCACATCCCTGTTGAACTGTTTTTGACGGTTGCCCAGAAACTCCCCGATCATCTGGCGGCTCAGGCCCTTCCGCTCCAGGATGAAGTGGGCTACCCCCACAGGTGTGTCCGACAAGAAGCCACGCTCGATCAGGTACTGGATGCCTTTCTCTGGTTTCCTGGGGAGAATTTGGGTGACTACCAATAAGAATCATTGTTGGGGCAGCTAGGCGGCACAGTGGATAGAGCACTGGCCCTGAAGTCAGGAGGACCTGAGTTCAAATCTGACCTCAGACCAAACACTTGACACCCTGGGCAAGTCACTTAACCCCAATTGCCTTAAAAACAACGACAACAACAACAATAACAAAAACCAAACAAACAAACCAAAAAATAAGAATCGTTGTCCATGTTTGCCAAGTGATTGCCGGAATACTGTGTCCCAGGTGAACTTGTACTACCTACGAGCTGCTCTAGGGCACGCGCACATGTGCGTGCGTGCACATGTGCACACTCATAGATGTTCACACCCAGTGTACATCATAAATGTGTACACACATGACACTCTTGAGCTCACCCACAAAGCATTAGTGGTTCACATGCAGAGCACTCTGCTGTTTCCAAAGTGTTCAGAGATTGAGGCCTGAGGTTACACAGAGTGTAATCACATGGAAACCCATATGACTCCCAGATCATTGGAGTTCAGGGAAAGGGAGAGGTTGGAAAGAAAGAAAAGAAGGGAGAGGAGGAGATAGTGGGAGGAAGAAGGCCAGACAAAGGGAATGGAGGAGGAGAGTGGAGCAAGGAAGAGGAGGGTGTGAGACCCAGGAAGGCTGAGTCTGGGGAAACCTACTTGTTAAAGAGGTTGAGGCCTATGCGGTAATGCCGTCTCTGGACCACGTCATTGTTGAAGGCTGGCGAGTCCCAGCTGTGCCTGGTCTCCCGCTGATAAGTCTGGGAGCCCAGCGGAGCAGGGGGCTCTCGCAGGCTGTCTCGCGACGACGATCCTGAGCTGCAGTTCATGGTCTCATTTGAGTTCGTGGTGCTGTTCAAGCTATCAGGCTCCCCGTCAGAGTTGTCTCCGCCGCCGCCGCCGCCACTGCCACCAGTGGCCGCCGGAGCCGTGCCAGCCTCACACTTGCCCATGAGGATTCGGCTGCCGCCACTTCCAGGGGGACCGCCACTGTTGAGGGCAGAGCTTCCAGGCGGGGGTGGTGGGGGCCCCAGGCCACTAGCCTCGGGGGCTGGGTAGTGGCGGAGGGGGTGAGGGGGTCTCCCAGGTGGTGGTGGCTCTGGGTGCTGCTGCAAGGTCCCGTGGGGGCTGCCGGTTCCACCAGCCTCATAGTTGCCCAGCTGCCGGTGAACAGAGCCCCGGTCAGAGCGGTCACTGAGGTCCACAGAGCTATCACTGGGTGGTTCAATGGTCAACAGTGGAAGGTGGGCTGCCCGCAGGCGAAAGTCCCTGCATTCGAGGCAAGGGGGGCCCCGGCGGGCCCCCATGTCTTCCTCCCGAACATTGGCAGCCCCAGGTGGGGGTGGCGGCAGAGATGGCTGTGGAGTGTCGCCACTGCTGGCTGGGTGGTCTGGGGAAAGAGGGGACACAGGCCCAGTGGCTTCATCCAGGTAGAGGGTGACATCACTGAAGGAAGTGCCCGTGCTGTCCCCATGGTGCTCCCGGGCCTCTGCCTGCTCTGGGAGGGGCCCTGAGACCTGCACTCTCCCCGGTTCTACCGCCTCCTCCTCTTCCTCCTCCTCCTCCTCTTCTTCCTCCTCTTCCTCCTCCTCCTCCTCCTCCTCTTCCTCCTCCTCCTCCTCTCCCCGAAGACTGTGGCAGTTCAGGGCCTCATCGATCGATTCCGCCAAGGACTTCACCTGCTCCTCATAGGTTTGCAGGGAAAGGGGAAAGAAGGGCAGAAAGGCAGGGAGAAAAGAGTGCAGGACCCATCGATCAGGCCAAAGAAAAGCTGCTCTGGACCCTGCCCCTTCCTCCTTCTCCCCCAAACTCCCAGAATTCCTTTCCCAAGGACCACTGAAATGCCCAGGGGCCATTCGTGTTTGGTTAGGTTTGGGCTTGACTTGGGTTTTCTGCAGGATGAGGCACTCCTGGTATGGAAAGTCCCTCCACTGAGGCAGAATGGCCACTTGGGTTTAACTTTCTGGTCTCCATATGTGTCAGTGGGACCAGAAGCCAGGTTTTCCTGGCTCAGAGCTCCGCTCTTTCTCCAATCTGTCAATAATTCAGTAACTGTTTGGGAACGAATGCAGTAGGGAAATAAAGGAACCTTGTCTCAGCCCAAATGGCCTAGGAGCTCCACTGCTCCTCTCTGTTTCCACCACAAGGCCCTGGGCCCAGCAGTGAGGACCTACTAGGCACTCACTGCTTAATTACTGAAGGGTCCAAAGGGAGGTGTGGGAAGAGGTCAAGGGCGGCCCCCAAGGCCTCACCTGCTTGGAGAAGGAGTCTTCCAGCTCGGTAATGTCATTGGAGAACTCCCCAGAGGTGGTGACAGAGCTGCCTCCATCCAGGCCACTGCAGGAACCACCATACGGGAGACCACGCTCTAGCCGATGGGCCCGGGCCCCTGCCATGGCGCCCTCATCCAAGGAGGCGGGCTTGCCCTCAAAGTAAGGAGCAGTCTGGCCCTTGTCGTACTCCTCAAAGGAGAACTGCATGCGCATGTTGGACAGAATGATACGCCTGGACATGCGGCTCTCCGAGGCCGAGGTCCGCAGCCGCTCAAAGTTCTTGTTCATGCGGTACTGGCGGAAGGCTGTCTGGATTGTGCGTGCTGCCCGCCGACTGAGAAATGGGCCACCGTACTTCCGCTCCAGCATCTCCACCTGAACAAGAGGAGAGGAGAGAGAGGAGGAAGGAAGGAGAATATAGGAAAGGAGAGAAGGAAGAAAAGAAAGGAGAAGGCAGAGGGAGTAGATGGTGCAAAGAAGACAAGGGGAGGGGAGGAAGAAGGAAGGAAGGAGAGAAGGAAGAAAGAAAAGAGGAAGGAAGGACAGAAAGAAGGAATAGAGGAAAGGAGAGGAGAAGAAAGGAGGAGGAAGAAGGTGCCTGCGGGGGGCTGGCTCAGTGTGCGTTGTCAGGGAAGCCCGATCCAGCCAGGAGGGGTCCCAAATGGATGACCCCCCACTCCCGCCATGCCTACCTTCTTATCCTGCAGGTCTGTGGAGAGCTCATAGCTGTCAGACAGGGCCTTGGACCTCTTCATCTCCTCTTCCTCCTGCTTTCGCAGTGCCAAGCTGGCGGGCTGGAGGCGAGCCCGCTGGGCCCAGGGCAGGCCAGTGGCAGCAGACGGACCGGGCATGTGGACATGGCAGGCAGCCGGGGGCAGCTCATAGGGGTCCGACAACTTGGCGAACTCGCTGACAACAGCACTGCCCCCGCAACGGTAAGGGGCCTGGCTTTCCGGACTGTCGGCCCCGACGCCCAGATCACTGGCCGGGGCATCGCCCTCCACACTGCAGGAGGGTAAGGGATGGATGGGGCCAGGGACCTGAGCAACCTTGCTCTGGGGTCCCTGATGGCTCCCTCCCAGTTCTAACTGGCCACCTGGTCTGGGTTTCAGCTTTCCCATCACTCCCCTCACCCACAGATCAGGGGGCCAGGGAGTAGAGAGAAAGGGGAACCCAGATCAAGGAGAAACTCGTAGGTACAAGGCCACAAGGCGAGGCGCCTTCCTCCTCTCCTTCCTTCTCCTTCCCTCCTTTCTTATTCCGCTCTCTCCTCTTCTCCTCCCCCCCTCCTCTTTCTGCCTCATGCCTCCAAGCCCCGGATTCCTCTCTCCTCACAGGTAGAGGGCAGCTCTTCAGGACCATCTCTCCTTCTTCCTCCTCTCCTCCTCCTCCTCCTCCTCCTCCAGGGTGGAAGCCCAAGGGAGCAGAAGGTGGCATGGCAGGGTGTTGTCAGGCACACTTCCCTCCTTCCATTCCTGGGCCACTTGGGCCTCCAGCACCTTTGGGAGGCACCTGGCCTCTTGCTGCTATGGCAACCTGGCTGCCAGGGAACAGAGAACAGCCAAGGGTGCCGCTAGCCCAAAGCTGGGGGATACTTTGGCCCTGACCCCAAGACCGCAAGAATATAGCCAAAGAGGGAGTGAGCTCTCAGAAAGCCGGGAAGAGCTGATGAAGAGGTCAAACCACATGGGGAAGGGGAGGGGACGGCGTCACTGGCTCATCAGGGCCGCGGAGGTGGGGGGGCCCTTGGCAGAGAGGTAGGGTAGGCAACGGTCCCAGGTTGACAAGACTGGGGGGCTGAGGGAGCCCTCCCACTGGCCAGACCCTGCCCTAGGGGTCCTTGCAGAGCGCCAACACCAGGACCCACAATCCTCCAATGCTAGCGCTTGCCCCTCTCTCTTGTGGGACTGTCTCTGTCTGTCTCTCCCTGACCCTGTCCCTCTCCTCTTTCTCCTTCTCTCTTTCTGATTGTTCTTGTCTCCCTGTCTGTCTTATTTGCTCTCCTTCGCCTCTCCACCATCCCCTCTTTCTCACCCCCTTCTGATTCTCTCCGTATATCTCTATCTCCCCTTTGTCTTCCTCTCTCTCCATTTCCCAACCCCATTGCCATCTTCCCCCCTCCATCTCTCTGTCTCCCCCTAAGCTCAGCCACCTCCCCAAACCCCGGCAGATGGGGTGGGGGGCTGGGGATGGACACAGTTGCCATGGAAATGGAGGAGGGGGTTGGCCAGTTGCCATGGCTTCCAAAGCGGGAAGGAGCCTCTGGATGAGGGGAGGCATCACCTTGGCAACCAGGGACCTGCCAGCCCCCCAGGCCTGGAATGGGGAGCCCGCAGAAGGCGTTATTTAAGTAGACTTCCTCTTCCATCTCCCACCCCCAAGCTCAGAGCTCCTCACAGCCCGGATTGCTTACACAAGCTTATCTGAGGCCCATGATGACGTTCCCCTGCCTCTGGCTGGTGAACTCAGCCTTTCTATCACTCCATGCCCCCTGACCCACACTTGGACTTTCTCTAGTTGGCATTCAAGGCCCCCCACCTCTGGCTCCCAATTTCATCCTTGAGTCCAGTCCATGAACACCCCTTCCCACCCCACCCCCCTGTAACATGTGCCTTTCTCAGACCTGACAAAGAACAGCCCCATCTCTTCCAGGCAGCCCTCTGAATGAAATGAGGGAGGAAAGGCAGCTGAAGGGCTCGAAGTCAGAGCACATTTAGGGTTAGGGCTGAGTCGTGGAGGCCCCAAAACAACGAGGAGCCAGTGGGGGCAGGAAATAGCCAAAGTCCCCCAAGGCAGGCAGGAAAAGGGTGTGCTTGCCAGCGGCGGGGGCTTCTCTCTCTGCCCTTCCCAGCCTGGCCCACTTTTTTTCCCTTCTCCTTCCCACCTGCTGCCCCAGGGAGCCTGGCTGAACAGGGGCAGTTGGGCCAGTGACCTGCCACAGATTTGCTCCCTCAAACTCTAGGGCCGCTGACCCAGCAAGTCCCAAAGACAGGCGTCTAGGGCTCATCCCTAGCCCAGATCTATAGATTTCTAGAGAAACAAGTGGAAAAGTGAATTCTGAAGGTGAATGGCTGGACCCAGCCTGGGGTTTCCAGGTAGAGCCTGAGGCCCAAAGTTGATTTCCATAAAAATCTCTTTGGAGACTGGAGCAGTGGCTCAGTGGAAACAGGCAGACCTGGGCTCAAGGCTGGCTCTAGAGCCCTGGGTTCGAGATACTCCCCGCCTCCAAGGCTCAACCCTAGGGGTGATCCAAGAGCCCCTCCCATTTCTTGGAGCTCCTGGGCTATCGGCCCCATTTAGCGTCAAGGCCTAATCCCGAAGGCCTCGTAAAGGGTTAGCGACTGGGCGATGTAACGAGTGACCGAATTCTCACCAAGGCACGAAGGCTAACAAGTCTTCAGAACCCCCTACCCCGATCCCATGCAGGCACGCACACACGCTGCTCCAACACACTGTTTACACGCTTTCCTCACAACAACCCTGTGAGGTAGGTGGGCCAGTTATAACCCTGATTTTACAAATGAGGAGACTGAGGCTCAGACAGAAGTGACTTGTCTAACGTCACACAGCTAAGATCTCCAGGAACCAGTGAGTGACATTTCCAGCCAACCCTAACCCACCTCATTTTACAAAGAGCAGAAATCTGAGGCCCAAAGAGCACTTGCCAAGGTGGAAGAAGGAAGAAGGCAGATTCGTTTTTATTGAAATGGGAGAGTAGGGGGGAAGAGATGATCTATTCGGGTCCAAGGGCCTGGGGAGGGGGAGTAGGCAGAAGCTCTGAAGTCAGCAGATGGGGGCGATGGGGGGAGGGGAATCTACCACTGGAACCAAGTTTCTAAGCCTGCTCCTTTCTCCAGCCGCCCTCCCCGGCCTCCTCTCCCCTAGCCTCATGTCCTCTCCTCTCCTCTCCTCAGATCAGCTATTTTCCAGGGTAATCAGGCTCCCCGAGTCCACGGGGGGGCCAGGGCAGGGGATAAGGGTTGGCTGAGATCCAAAGACCAGGCTCATCCTTGTCACCATCAGCAGTGTGGTCCCTAAGGCCAGGGGAGAGAGGAGACAGGGGAATGCAAGAGCCCTGCGCAGGCAGCCTCCAGGCCTGAGGCCCACACAGTCCTTTCCAGAGGCAGAGAAGTTAAGGCTTTGGCTTCTGCATAGAGACCTGAGGAGGGTAGGAACGGGGACCCTGCTGGAGGGAGAGAGCAGCGTGGGGAGGGGCCCGCTTCCAAGCCAGGGCTCAGGGGAAGTATTCTCCGGCCGAGAAGGATGGAGCCTCTGGACTTCCAGGTTACCTAGAAGCAGGGCTACTGGACTCAGAAGGGGGGCAGCAGAACAGATGGCCGTCCTCGTCATTCTCCATTAGCTCCTCGTCCCTGGGGTGGGGAGGGGAGGGAAGGGGCAGGAAAGGTGAAGGGGAGTGGAGAGAGGTGGGGCCATGGGCAGTGGGCAACAGAGAAAGAGGGAGAGCTGGTGTTAGGTGGGCGGGGAGCCAGTCCTGGGGATGCTCTGGCCACAGGAAGGCAGGCGGGAGCTGGGCTAAGGTGGGGGATGACACGGCTAGACTTAGAGGTGGACCCTGAGGCCTCCCCCATCCTTGAGCCACCCCCCTTCCAGGACTCCTAAAGGGCTCCATCCCCTCCCTCCAAAGATCTTCGAAGCCCCACACTTTAGGGCTGGGCCAGGCTTGGAGCCCCCGCTACAGAAGTCTGGACGCAAAGGACAGCGCTGGAAAAGTGCAGACCAAGACCCTAAGAAGCTCAGCACCAGAAAGGCCTGAGGCCTCCTCTTCCTGACCGGACACGGGACACGTGAGGCTCAAGGCTGTGAGCTCCTTGTCTTGGGCCTTCGGCCATCTTCCGAATGAGGAGGATCGGGGCCCCTGGCCACCAATGATGCACTATCCCCCTCAGTGCTCCTCTCTGCTTAGAGCTCTCTCATCTTCACCCCATTCTGAGCTCTCTCTCCAGAGAGGTCTTAAAGGGACCCCTCTGAGGCTCCTTCCTTTTTAAGGAGGGAGAAACTGAGGTTCAGAGAGAAGAAAGGTGCCCAAGGCTATCTCCTCTAACAAGCCTAGCTAGGACTAGAACCCAAATCTCCTAATGCTCACTTCCAAGTTTTTTCCACTGTCACCCCATCTCTTGCTGCTTTACTGGACCAGCTATAGCTCTACTTCTCTGAGCATATGGACTCCCAGGCCTGAGAAGGTAACCTTATGGCCTAGAACCAACTATTCATCTGCTTAGGAATTCACATATGTATACCTCTATCCATCCATCCGTCTATGGACCCATCCATCCATCCATGCATCCACGCATCCATCCGTCTATGGACCCATCTACGGATTGTATACCTAACTGTCCTTCTGTCCATTCATGTGGCCACCCTTCTATGAATGCAGCTATGAGGTGATCTCTATCTATTATAGCCGCCTCCTCAATTCAAGTCTATTCAGCAACCAAGCATTAAGCCCAGGCTGGTCCCAAGTGCCCTGCTAAATGTCCTGAGGATGCACAGACAAAACCTGAAACAAGGCCTGACCCTTGAGGAATTTCTACTGGGCTGGGATTAGGGTTAGGGTTAGTGGGGGAGGGGTGGAGGGGGTGCAAAGGTTGAGTTAGGGGGAACCAGGTCCGAGTTTTCATTGATTGAGGGAAGTTGCAAAGAGGAGGTTCACAGGTGCAGGCATGCTTCTGAGAACTGCCCTAGGTACTAAAACTGAGGAAATGAATTCCCAAAGTCCCTCAGCTAGCAGCTAGTCTGTGGCAGAGGCTGCACTCCCCTCCCACAAAACAGCATGAAATTTAAGACAGCTGGGGGGTGGGGAGAGGTGTCAGGAAGTGCCTCTGGCGGTGCCTGAGTTATGTCTTAGAGAAAGCAGCAGATTCTGGGGCAGGGGAGGAGGGAAAGCATTCTGAATATGGGCAACTGAAGTGGGAGATGAGATATCATACACGGGAACCAATTCACCAGCCAGTCTGATGGGACACAGAGCTAACATTTCGATAGCG